AAACGTTTCACGGTGGAGCCAGGAGTCGGGGCCGGACATGATCGATGTAGATCGCCGCTTTGTGGTCTCAGTACGTGCAAGATGGGTGCGCTTTTGTGGACGGCAGCGCGTTCGCGGTCCAAGCGCCAGACTTGCGGGCGGCCGGTCGGGCGGCGTCGGTTTACAACTCGGAGAGGCAGCGTGGCGCTCGGTATCATGGTGCTGTCTTTCGCGCTGATGGGCCGAGTCAAGTTGCCAGAGATGGGGGGGGGGGGGGCTACGCGCTGATGATGGCAGCGCAATTGGCGCTTGGCTCGTATCGTGTCAAGTCTGATTACAAGGGCCCGGCGGGCGGTTACCACAGGCTCCGATCGGCTTGTGGGCCAGGCAACTTCCGGCTCACATGTGGAAGAGAGCTGTCCTGAATGATGACTTCTGCCGTGCTACCTTCCGCTAGGTGATGGCGCGCGCGTCCATGGCCGATCTCATGGAAGGCGCCATGCGTGAATTTGAATTTGATCGTAGCTGCAACGCTGAGGTTGATGACCTTGCCAAGGCGAGGGCGAGATTCCACGCTGCTAGCGACGACGAGGAAAGCGGTGTCCGAGGAACTTGCCGCCTACACAAGATGCCGCTCACATGCACCGTCCAGTTCGAGGTGTGGTTTTATGAGCAGGAGTAGGAGCTTCGTGATTGCATCTTTCCTGAATCTGAGCAGGATGCAGCGGTGTCTCCTGCGCAGGCGGCACCAGCCAGGGGGGGCGCCTCTCCCTTGGCCAGTGTTGGTTCAGGGGCATGCACACCTGGAATATCCTGTTGACGGTCAGACACGCTCGCTCGTTTTTCTGCACTAGATTGTTGCAAATACCCGGGCACGGGTAGCCTCAATCATCGTGGTCTAGATTTCCGACGCTGTGGCCGTCTGGGAGGCAGCGGCTGAGTACACGAGAACACGCGTCATTTCCAGAACTTAAGGCGCCCGCAGAGCCTGCACAAACAGGTTCGGCTTCTTCACGCGCGCAAGCCATCTGAAGTTGTGAGAAGGAGCTTGTGCAGATCCAAGGGTTGCCAAGACTCACCGAGAGAGGACGTGTTCATCAGTCGGCCCAAAGAGAAGATCGGAGCCGAACCACCGAGATATCTCGACACAGCGTGTTTCCTGGCGGACCATGTGACCATGGCCAATCTGACCCCGAGTGCTTGGAGTTGGGAGCTCCGCGAGATGATGGAAGCGATGGTGAAGATGACCTGGCTATGGTATGAGCGCCCTGTCTTCTACCGGTGGCTAGTGGTGTTTGATCCCCGCTGGTACAGAAGCTATACTGAACTCGTTCAGCTTTCCGATCCTGTTTCGGGCAGTTTCACGTCGCCGAGGTGTCTGCGACCTTCCTGGGCCCTTGGTGATGCAAGTTGTTGGCCGTTGGATACCCTTTGCGTTGGCCGGGCTAGCCTCGTCTCGCCACGGTGCGGCTCGTGCGCCGTCGTCGTGAGCCACATTGACTTGCTGGTGCTGCTGCGGGCCAGCTCGTTGGTGTCGGCGCTGCGTGCGCGGCACTTCGGCAACGCCCAACTCGCGCTGAGCCCACTCGTGGTCGGCCCCCTTGTGCCGCTGTTGGGGACCGTCCCCGTCCTGCGGGCCCCGCTCTTCGGGGACATGCTTGTGAGCACGGGCCTGGCGCAGGCCCCGTGCTTCCGTCGGCGGCTGCGTGGCGCCGTGCCGCTGCTGGGGGTTGACGGTCCACCCCCCCTGCTCGGGCTACTTTAGCACCACCCAGGGACGACTTCGGGTCCCTTGGGCGGTGGTCTGAGCGGGGGGTAGGATGGCGCCGTCGAGCCCCTCGGGCCGCTGTCGGCCCCGAACCGCTCGCCTCTCGGCTTCTGTTCGCTCGCTCCCTCCTCCTCCTCCTCCTCCTCCTCCTCCTCTTCCACCCCCTCCTCCCCATGCTAGGGCTCTGGTTACTTAAGGCTTTGGCCCCTCATGCTGGTGCTGCGACCCTTCATGGTTTGACCGCGGCTCTGGTCCCTTATGCATTGACCACTCGTGAGCCTTGGACCCATCATACGTTGACCCCTCATGCTAGGGTTGTGGACCCTTCTGTATTGGCACTGATGCTGGGGTGTCGGCCCTTCGACTGTGGAGACATCCGTTTGCTGGCCTCCTCATGCCTTGACCCCTCAAGTTGGGGTTTGGACCCACTAGCTATTGCTCCCTTTCTCGCTGCGGCTTAGGCCCCGCATTCGTCGACCCTTCATGCTGGGGCTTTGGCCCATTATATGCGTTAACCCATCATGCTTGACATGACCCCCTCTTATCTCATGCGTCGGCCCTTCATGGTGTGGCCTTGACCCTCATGTACTGACCCTCATGCTAGGACTTTGGCCTCTCATGCGTTGACCCCTCATTATGGTGCTTTGCCCCCCCACCCCACGCCACCCCACCCCACGTGTTGACCTTTGTGCTCGGGTTATGGCCCCATACGCTGGCCTCTCATCCTAGGGGTTAGGCCCTCAAGCGTTGACCAATCATGCTGGGCCTTTCACCCCCAGGCTTTGACCCCTCATGCTGGGGCTTCGTCCGTCATGCTGGGGCTGCGGCCCCCAAGCGTTGACTCCTGGTGCTGGGGCGGCTTTGGCCTCTCATGCCTTGAACCCTCAGGGGCTTGGACCCCTCATGTGTTGACCCCTCATGCTGGGGCTTGGGCCCCGCGTGCTCCGACCCTCATGCTGGGGGTTCGGCCCTTCTCGAGTTGAACCCTGATTCCAGGCCTGTGGCAAGACATGTGTTGACCCCTCATGCCTGGGCTCTGGTTATGGCACGCTCTGCGAAAAAGCCTTGTCCCTGGACTTGGGCGCCTCATGCGTCGCTCATAGCATAGCTGCTGCGCCCTCACGCGCCGAACCAGCCTGGAGAAAATGAAGGCGGTTCTGTGTTTCCCGCCCGCTGGGACACTGATCTTTTGGTCAAAGCCTGGCGGAAAATCTGGTTATCCTTCGCAATTGCTTCAAACAGAGGTGGCTGCCAAAAGGCGGGCGGCAGGAACATACAATCCAACAACACCAGGTGCCAACAACGGTCCTTGCAGCAGGCCCCAGGACCAGAAGGTTTGCCCTCCCACCCTTCACGAGCACCGCCTTCAAGGATGGGGGAGCCCACGTGCCACACCCGACTGATCAAGATCATGCCCACCCTCAGGGAAAACAGCACCACATCACAGTCCTCTTCCTCCCCCTCCTCCTCATCCTCCTCCCACCTCCCCTCATAATCTCTCTCCTTTCCTTCGGAGTCCGATTCTCCTCCTTTCCTTCGTCCTCGTTCTCACCCTCGTTCGCGCCGCCGCCGTACTCGCCATTCTCGGTTCGCTCTGCTCCCCCGTCGGCCGTGTCCCGCTCACCTCGTTGTGGTCGTCGTTGCTTTTCGGGTCGCAACTTGGGTCTCCGGCGGCCATTCGGCCCGGCCCCAACACCCCAGAAACGCTCTCGGCGAGGCGCAGCTGCCGGAACGTAACCCGAGGCTGGAAAACCGCCGAGAACGGGCGAAAACTGTTCCCCAATCATCCTGTGGTGTTGGGTCCTCGTTTTGAAAAGAAAGCGCCCCGCGTTCCTCCCGCCTCCTGCCTCCCCCTCCTCCTCCGCCTCCTCCCTCCTCCCTGCGTTTCACCCACCCAGTACAGCGTTTCGTAGCCCCATAGGGAGCTCCACCGAAGGCCCAAGTTGCAGGGTCCGCATGCAGTTCAACCCCCATTTCGGCGCACCCCTGACACGCTTCGTGGCCCCATAGGTTGGTCCTCCGAAGGCCCCAGTGGCAGGGTCCGCATGCAGTTCCACCTCCACTTCGGCGCACCCCTCACACGTTTCGTGGCCCCATAGGGGGCTCCGCCGAAGGCCCCAGTGGCAGGGTCCGCATGCAGTCCAACCCAGGCGCCCCCCTCACACGCTTCGTGGCCCCACAAAGTGCTCCACCCAGGGCCCCAGTGGTAGGGTCCGCATGCAGTTCAACCCCCATTTCGGCGGACACCTCACACGTTTCGGGTTCTCCACCGAAGGCTCGAGTGGCAGGGTCCGCGTGCGGTTCCACCTCCATTTCGGCGCGCCACTCGCACATTTCGTGGCCCCATAGGTTGGTCCTCCGAAGGCCCCAGTGGCAAGGTCCACATGCAGTTCCACCTCCATTTTGGCACACGCACACACGCACACCACACGTTTCGTGGCCCCATACAGTGCTCCGCCGAAGGCCCCAGTGGCAGGGTCCGCATGCAGTTCCACCTCCATTTCGGCGCACCCCTCACACGTTTCGTGGCCCCATAGGGGGCTCCGCCGAAGGCCCCAGTGGCAGGGTCCGCATGCAGTTCCACCTCCATGTCGGCGCACCCCTGACACTCGTGACCCCTATAGGGTGTTCCACCCAGGGCCCCAGTGGCAGGGTCCGCATGCAGTTCCACCTCCATTCCGGCGCACCCCTCACACGTTTCGTGGCCCCATAGGGTGCTCCGCGAAAGGGCCCAGTGGCAGGGTCCGCATGTAGTTCCACCCCCATGTCGTCGCACCCCCCACACGTCTCGTAGCCCCATAGGGTGCTCCACCCAAGGCCCCAGTGGCAGGGTCTGCAATGCTTGCCGCATGCAGTTCCACCGCCACTTCGGTGCACCCCTCGCACGCTTCGTGGCCCCATAGGGTGCTCCGCCGAAGGCCCAAGTGGCAGGGTCAGCACGCAGTTTAACCCTATTTTGGCGCACCCCTCGAACGTTCTGCGGCCGCATAGGGTGCTCCACCGACGGTTCCAGTGGCGGCGTCCGCATGGCGTACCCGTGACAATTTTGGCACACCCGTCACACGCGTCGTGACCGCAGAGAGGTTCACCGAGGTCGATACCCACAACTGCGTGACTCACAACTGCACATGGTTGGGTCCCTCGCCAGGATAATCATTATGTTGCGTGTTTTGTTAAACCGTCTGCTCGAACAAAACATGTCGAGAACGTCTTGGTCGGCCTCCGCTGCTCCCCTGTCGGCGGGCGCGGGGTCCGGCGTTCCGGACATGGCGGCCGCGTCCCGCACGGCCCGCGCGAACTCCCTGGGGACGGCCCCAGCACCCGACGACGCGCAGGGCGCGGTGCTTGAAGCAGCTCTGCGCCGCGCTATCGGCAGCGGCCAAGAGTTGCGGCAGCAAATCCCCCCCTGAGAATTACCCCGACAAACGAAGCCTTTTTGCAAACGCACCCACGGAATGAATCGAACCGGGCAGGGTTGTTTCGTAAACGCCCCGGGCCGTGTAGTAAACGCCAATTGTCGGGGTCTGGGTGTTTTCCCTCCCTTGGAGAAGGCAGCGGCAGCGGCGGACACCATATGAGGCGACATGCGAACCGTACCCCGCGCAATCATCGATTTCCTGAATCGGTGGGGGGCGGGGGTAGGTACCAGATTTCGCCACGTGTTCGACACATGTTTGATCCTACCCCCGCCGCTCATCGAGTTGCCTGAATCGTTGATCGTTGAAGGAAGGCCTCTGATCTAGTCGCTGAGCAGGGCGCGGCGCTTGAAGCGGCGCTGTGCCACGAGCTCGGCAGCGGGCATCGGCAGCAGCAGCGCCAGCCGTCAGCGGCGGCGGCCGGCGGCGGCCGTCTGCGGAAGCAGTCGTCGTCGTCATCGTCGTCGTCGTCGTCTTCGTCGTCTGTCTTAGGTATGGCTTGCCCTGGCGGCGGTGGGGGGTCTGGCCAGAGGAACGCTAAGATTCTGGCATCTCATTATTTTCGCGCCACGCGTCTTCGCCCGGGGTCGGGCCCAGGCACCCTCGCAGCAAATGGATCCAGCTCAAGAAATGCTGCAGGAAGATGGGGGTATCCCGTCATGATTTTCTCGCAGCCATGCAGTGGTGTTGGATCCTCGTTTTGAAAAGACAGCGCCCCGCGTTCCTTCCTTCCTCCTCCCGCTGCCCCGTCCTCCGTCATCCCCCCGTCCCCCCCCTCACGTCGGAACACCCCTCACATGTTTCGTGGCCCCATAAGGAGCTCCACCGAAGGAATCAGTTGCAGGGTCCGCATGCGGTTCCCCGCTCGTTTCTGCACACCCCTCATGCGTTTCGTGGCCCTGACTCCATAAGAAGCTCCGCCGAAGGCCCCAGTGGCAGGGTCCGCATGCGGTTCCCCGACCATTTCGGCAAACCCCTCACACGTTTCGTGGCCTCATAGGGAGCTCCGCCGAAGGCCCCAGTGGCAGGGTACGCATGCGGTTCCACGCCCACATCAGCAAACCCCTCACACGTTTCGTAGCCCCATAGGGAGCTCCACCGAAGGCCCCAGTGGCAGGGTCCGCATGCGGTTTCCCGCCCATTTCGGCAAACCTCTCTCACGCTTCGTGGCCCCATAGGGAGCTCCACCCAAGGCCCCAGTGGCAGGGTCCGCATGCGGTTCCCCGCTAATTTCGGCACACCCGTCACACGGTTCGTGGCCACATAGGGAGGCCCATCGAACGATGGACCCAGAACGCGATATCCATAGCTGCTTATGGTTGGGTCCTTCGTCAAGCTAATTTCATAACGTCGACCTCCAGATCTCTCGCCCCATTCCCCGTGACCGAGTCGTTTTTGACTAGATTCTCATCGCGAGTCGTTTTTGACGGTCCCAGGCAGGGCGAGGGCCCCAAGAAGACGAAAATGACCAGACACCCCCATCCTGACATTTTTCCCCAACCATCCTGGGGTGTTGGGTCCTCGTTCTGAAAAGGCAGCGCAACGCGCTCCTCCTCCCTCTCCCGCAACCTCCATTTCGGCGCACCTCTGGCACGCTTCGTGGCCTCGTAGGGTGCTCCAGCGAAGGCCCCAGTGGCAGGGTCCGCATGCAGTTCTACCTCCATGTCGGCGCACCCCTCATACGCTTCGTAGTCCCATAGGGAGCTCCACCCAAGGCCCCATTGGCAGGGTCCGCATGTAGTTCCACCCCCAGTTCGGCGCACCCCTCACACGTTTCGTGGCCCTATAGGGTGCTCCGCCGAAGGCCCCAGTGGCAAGGTCCTCTTGCAGTCCCACCTCCATGTCGACGCACCCCTCACACGTTCCGTGGCCACATGGGGAGCTCCACCGAAGGCTCCAGTGGCAAAATCCGCATGCAGTCCAACCCAGGCGCACCCCTCACACGTTTCGTGGCCCCACAAAGTGCTCCACCCAGGGCCCCAGTGGTAGGGTCCGCATGCAGTTCCACCCTTATTTCGGCGCACCCCTCCCAAGCTTCGTGGCCCCATAGGGAGCTCCACCGAAGGCCCCAGTGGCAAGGTCCACATGCAGTTCTACCTCCATGTCGGCGCACCCCTCACACGTTTCGTGGCCCTCCACCCAAGGCCCAGTGGCAGGGTCCGCATGCAGTTCCACGCCTATTTCGGCGCACCTCTCGCACGGTCCGCGGCCCCGTAAGGAGCTCCGCCGAAGGCCCCAGTTGCAGGGTCCGCGTGCGGTTCCACATCCATTCGGCGCACACCTCACACGTTTCGTGGCCCCGTATGGGGGCTCCACCGAAGGCACCAGTGGCAGGGTCCGCGTGCAGTTCCACCTCCATTTCGGCGCACCCTTCACACGTTTCGTGGCACCATAGGGTGCTCCCCCGAAGGCCCGGTGGGGCCCCAGTGGCAGGGTCCGCATGTAGTTCCACCCCCAGTTCGGCGCACCCCTCACACGCTTCGTGGCCCCATGAAGTGCTCCACCCAGGGCCCCAGTGGCAGGGCCTGCAAGCAGTTCACCTCCATTTCGGCGCACCCCTAACACGCTTCGTGGCCATAGTCTGGTCCACCGAAGGCCCCAGTGGCAGAGTCTCACCCACGAAGTCTCCAAGACGGCCCACGACGGGCCAGAGGCCTCCAAGAGGCATCCAAGACGGCCCAAGAGGCCTCCAAGAGGTCTTTCAGGCTTTTGGCATTTGCTTATTTTCGTCCACCCGGCGGTCCGAGACGGCCCAAAGCAATCCCAAGATCGCCCCAAGATAGCCCAAAAGGCCTCCAAGATGACCCCACGACGGCCTAAGAAGCCTCCAAGACGGCTTCAAGAAGGCCCTAATACGGCCCAAGAGGTCTTCGAGACGACCAACACGGCTTTCAAGAGGGCATCAAGTCGGTTCAGAGATGCATCCAAGACTGCTTCCGACGGCGTCCGACGGGCCAGGAATGCTATAAGATGGCCAGAGGGGCCCCCAAAGGCCCCCAAGAGGCCCAAGGAATCTCCCAAGAGGTCTCCAAAAGGCTCCGAGGAAGCTCCTAGGAGGCCCGAAGGGTGTCTCCAAAGAGGCCCCCCTCCTCCTCCTCCTCCCCCCTCCTCCCTCCCCCTCCCACCTCCCCCTCCCCTCCCCCCCCTCCCCCTCCCCCTCCCCCTCCCCCTCCTCCCCCCTCTCCCCTCCCCCCCTCCCCCTCCCCCTCCCCCTCCCCCTCCCCTCCCCCTCCCCTCCCCCCTCCCCTCCCCCTCCCCCTCCCCCTCCCCCTCCTCCTCCTCCTCCTCCTCCTCCTCCTCCTCCTCCTCCTCCTCCTCCTCCTCCTCCTCCTCCTACTCTTCCTCCTCTCTATTCTTGCTCCCTCTCCTCCGTTTCTTCTTTCGCCCCCGCGATCCCCGAATGGTTTCCGATAGCTGCCGATAGCTTGGCAGAGCTCTGGCCACGACGTTCGGCCAAATGGGCGATTCCAAAAGGCATGGGGCGGCGGTGATTCGCCGTAGGCGCCTTCGATATATCTGCACATCTACATATCAATGCGTGGCCCTAAAGAAGCCCCGACCCTTCCCCAGGGAACCCACAAAGAACGTATGCGCCCAACCATGTATATGAGCACGGCCTCTCGATCCGCGAGGCCGGCCGCGTGACACGAACGCTCGCGCAGAGCGTACTCTCGAAACCAACGTGGATTCATGTACGTGTATACATCCTTCTTTCACTCCTGATTCCCTGCGGGCACCGCAACAAGGGGCCCCCGAAGCCGACATCTCGAGGACGAGCGCCGGGGTTGAAAAGATCCCATCCTCGGAGATCGGGGCTCCCTTGCTGCCCCGATAACTGCGCAGCGCGCGACTCGCAGCGTTTTGACGCGGAGCTCAGCACGTAGACTGAAGACGCACGCTTCACACGATACGCTCTCCAAAGCGTGTGCCAATATGCGGAGCCAACACGCAGCGTGCTGACAAGGACGCTCTGAGCACGGCACGCGCGGCGCGTCAGAACGGGCGCGTGGAGACAGTTGAGACCTGGGCTCGCCCCCTCGAGCCTGGCAGAGGCGGACGGACGAGGAGGCCGCGCCCCCCCGCGCCCCAGTCTGCTAAGACGAAGCCAGGACGAAAATAACATCGGTCGGGGGCGCGCAAACATGGATGAGCGATCCATGCATTTTGCGCGCGGTCGCCAGATCCATGGATCGGGGGAAGTGCCCTCCCCAAAGTGCGGCCCGTGCCGCCTCGTCCGGCGGCGGGAATCCGGGATTTCCCATGGAAACAGGACCCGTCGCTATTCCACGCCTCCTGAATCCATGGTTGCGATCGCCTGAATCGGGGGAGGATACATCGAGGATCTTCGGCGGCGCACAGAAAGGGGTATGGGGGAGGGGGGAAGGCTTCTTAGAAGGAGGCTGCTTCTCAGAAGGCGCCGGCCTGACATCTACAGACAAGGCCCGCGCTTTCGAAGCAGCAGTGGTGTGTCTGAGAAGCCTTCCCCCCTCCCCCATACCCCCGCTCTGCGCGTGGCCGAAATCTCTGAGACCCAGCGGCTCTGGAGGATGTCTCGGGCGCCGCGGCCTGCTCAGAGCGTTCCGGAACGTTCTGAGAGCGCTCCGGCATGCTCTGGACCGGATTTCTCCTCGTCCCGGCCCCGTCCGACAGTCCACTGACCGGAACTGCCGCCACTCAAAGAAACACCAACTACGGCAGACCATGTTTTTGGCTTCGGTGCCCAATCACTAACTCACCGGCTCCCCTTAACCCCGTGGCCCAGGCTATGTCCGACTGGAGGAGGCGGACATCCCCCTCCCCCTGAGATCCGACGTCCCGAAAAAGTTGCGACATCGCCAGCAAATCATCACCGTAGCCTGAACCCAATCGATAACTGCGCCATTGTTCGAGCCGGATCCCTCTGCGAGGGCCCCGGGGCTCGACTCTGGGCAAAAACGCCCTAATCTGTGAAACGGTGGCGACGCCCGGATCTCAGGGCCCCCGCGCGATTGCTCCTGAAGGGCACGGCGTGCCCGACTCCGCGCTGGGGCTGGCCCGGGGTCTGCTCCGGATCGTGCTCGAGCTCGGGGGCCTGGGAGCCGAGGGGAGCAGAGAGGGGCACAGGCACTGAGCTGCCAACGGTGCAGGCATCCCAGGGCAGAGCCAGACATGCTGGCGTCTTAAACAAGAACCACAACGGGAGGTTTTTGGCAATTTTCTACCTCCGAAGGCCCTCGCCGCCGCCGCCGCCGCCGCCTCATCGGCAAGCTCAAGCCCTACCAGGCGCGGGTGCGGCGCGGCAGCAAGGACGTGTACTTACCTGCGACGCTTCGCCACTGCCAAGTAGGCGGCGGTGTGCGTCGCGCGGTCGCCATAGGGGCAGGAAGCGGCCTCGCTGGGCCCCCAGACCGTCACAAAATGGCGCGGGACAACAAACCGGCCCTGGAGAAAGAATCGGGATTTCTGGGGAGCCACGTTGCGAAAGAGTCAAGACATCAGATGTCTGGGGGAAGGGGATTCTTCACTGAGCTGCCGACGGTGCAGGCACCCCAGCTGCAAATTCGCCCGCGAAGGAGGGCTACTGATTGCCTGCCTCTGCCCTGGCGCCGACGAGCAGGAGGGGGAAGGGAGGGCCGAATCTCAGGGTTTAAAGACGTTAGACGAGAGTGTTCCACTACTCGCAAAGTAACTACTCGCAAATGGCCTGGATCCGCCGCGGGGGATCTACGATACATTGCATCGAAGCAGACATGTGTTTCTCGGACGTTTGCGAGTAGGCACTTTGCGAGTAGTGGAACGCGCTCGGTGAAACGTGCAGGTCGGCAGCGTCGTAAAGTGATGCAGAGCCTGCCGGGAATTGTCCAAGCCTGCCGAGAGCCGAGAGGGACCCAGGCATCCAACGTTGCGACTTTCTCACAGCATGGACCCCGAAGGTCTGGACCTCTTCCCAAGGACCGGCTCTTCTCCCCGCGCCGTTTTTCGACGGCCCTGGGCCCAGCGAGGGCCCTCAAAGGCCAAACCTGTGTTTGTTTCATTCGTTTTTTCCAAATCAAACACCCTCCTCTCAAGACTCGAGGCTGTCCAGGTCGAGCGCCAAAAGGGAAGGGGCGGAGGTCCCCCCCCCAAGATGCCACGCGGGGCCCTCTGGGATATCGGCTCGGGGCCCGTGGGATACCGCTGTGGGGCTGTAGGTAGGGACTTGGAGCTTTCTCGGCGCAGGTTCGCACGTGTCGGAGATCGCCTGGTGGCCCGATGGACGCCCGAGCATCGGCTGGCTCCTCGTGCGCAAAATCGGCAGGCGCGTGTGATGGTGGATGCGTTGATTATCCCGCGGCTGTTGGTTCGCTTCCGTTGTATCCGATCGGGGCAACCTGACGACAAGTTCGGGGCGCGTCGGATGTCGGGGGGGAGCCGCTTGGAGGTCGGATGGGGATGTCGGGTGTCTCAGCCGAGAGATCTGGGGATATCGGTTGGGCTATCGACTGGGCAATGATTGGCCATCGGGGGGGATTTCAAATATCAGGCCGATGCGCTCGGCAGGCGCCCCCCCTGTTTTGACGCCGCTTCGGGGCGCGCGGGGGGGCCCAGACTCCGGGGCCACCCGCGTGCCCGTCTGGAGTTCCTGGCGGGCCCGTCGGCTGCTCATGGCAAGGTGCGCCTCGGCGGCGCGCGCGCCCCCGCCCGCCAACAACAAAACCGCGCAGTGGCGGGGGCGCGCGGCCGCGTATCTCCCCGCCAGCTGGCGGCGCCCGAAAACCCGTCCACCCGCGCCCACCCGCCCCCGAAATTCGCCGCGACGGCGACGGCTGCCCCCCTGCCCCCCCCCCTCCCCAATTCATCCTCATTGGCGATCGACGGAGCGACGAGTGCCCGCCCTGAAATTGCACGACCAGCAGAAGGGTCGCCCCCCACCCCCACCCCCCCAGCGCGCGCAATCCAAGGCGCTGGCGGCGCTGGGTCGCAGATGCGCAGCCGCGCTGGCTGACGCGCGGGGGTGGCGCGCGCCACCCGCGCGCGCGGGGAGTGCTGCATTACCGACGACCAAGAGAAACGTCATGCTGAAAGTACTAGATAGCACGTGCGCGCCCGTCCATTACCCGCATGAAACGAAGTGGCGCGCGCCGCAGCCCGCCGAAGACAAACGCGGCCCCTCGAGGACGGCCGCGGGGCACCGCGCGCTCAGAACGCAGCAGAGGCCACCGCGTGGAAGCGCGCAAAGGCCCGCCAGAAACAACACAAACCCCATGTGACCTCATTGTTCTGGGATCGGGCCCACTGGAATCCGCCGCGCGTAGATTGCGAACCTGCGAAGTTCCCCTGGAGCCAGTCAGTGGGCCCAGCATCGATTTGACGCGCGCTATAAACTTATCCTGGCGAAGGACCCAACCACATGCAGTTGCGAGATCAGTAGTTGCGCCTGCCCCTGCGGCGACGGAACTTTTTGCGAGGCCACGAAACGTGCGAGGGGTGTGCCGAAACTGGCGGCGGCGCCATGCGAACTTCTAATTGGCTGCATTGGGTTGGGCCCCCTATGGGGCCACGGCGGGCGTGAGGGGTGCGCCGAAATGGGGCGACGGTGCCGTGCGAATTTTCCAACTGGCGCCTTCGGCTGGGCTCCCTGTGGTGCCACGGAGCGCGTGAGGGGTGTGCCGACATGGGGCGGCGGCGCCATGCGAACTTCCCCAGCGCGGCCTTAGGTGGAGCTCCGTATGGGGCCGCGAAACGTATGATGGGTGCGCCGAAATGAGACGGCGGTGCCATGCAATGTTTTCCGCTGGGGCTTTAGGTGGTGCTCACATGGGGCCACGAAGCATGCGGGGGGAGTGCCGACATCGTTCGGCAGCGTCATGCGACCTTTCCCACTTGGGCCTTCGGCGGGGCTCCCTATGGGGTCACGAAGCGCGCGAGGGGCGTGCCGCAATGCGGCGGCGGTGCCATGCGAATTTCCCCGCTGGGGCCGTAAGCGGCGCCCCCCCATGGGGCCGCGAAGCGTGCGAAGGGCGTGCCGTAATGGTGCGGCTGCGTCGTGCTAATTTCCCCATTGGTGCCTTAGGTGCGGCTCCTATGGGGCCGCGACCCGCGCGGGAGGCGCGCCGAAGTGGGGCGGCTGTGCCGCGCTAGCTTTTCCACTGGGGCATCAGGCGGGCCCCCTATGGCGCTGCGAAGCGCGCGGGGGATGAGGCGGCGGCGCCATGCGACCTTTCCCACTGGGGCATTCGGCGGAGCCCCCAATGGGGCCGCGAAGCGCGTGGGGGGCGTGCCGAAATGACGCGGCTGTGCCACGCGAGTTTTCCAAGTGCGGCCGTGGGTGGGGATCCCTAAGGGGCCGCGAAACGTGCGCGGGGCGTGTCGAAGTGGAGCTGCTGCGCCATGCTAACGTTCCCACTGCGGCCTTATGCGGGGCCCCCCATGGGGGCGCGAAGCCTTTGAGGGGCACGCCGAAACACACAGATACACGCGGATTGCGCGGCGCGGGCAAGGATGGGAGGGGGGGAGGGGGGGGGGGGGGAGTGAGTGAGGAACGCGGGGCGCTGTCTCTTCAAAACGAGGACCCGACACCACGGGATGGCTGGGGAAAGAACACGCGACGTCACAGTTGGTCTCCGCGGTCTCGCGCGGGAATGTATACCACCCAAAACGCCACCCACGCGCCCTCAGGGCGAGGTGCGTTTGGCTAAGACGACGCGTTCGTCCACATGGCATCCCAGCGGGCGCCCGCGCGGGCCCGCGCAGGGCCCCGCGGGGGAACGGCTGGAATGCAGCGGGTGTCTTTCCAGAGCTCCAAAGTCCAGCGGGTGCACCTTTGCGTTTGGGCGGTTGGCGGCGCGCGCGGTGCGGCGCCTAGCTGGGCACCCGCGAAAGCGCGGGTTTCACCCTGTGCGGGCGGCGAACATTTCGGGCCCACCCAGGGGCCAGGCAGGGCGCGGGGCCGTGCCCGCAGAGAAGCGATTGGGCTGGTTTCGGGCTTGCAACGGCGCGCGCGGCGCGGCGCGTCGCTCGGGCTATATGGGGCATTGGGCGCGTCGCGACGCGCGCGGCGCAGCGCCTTCTATGTGCCACGATGGGGGCGCGCGCGTTCGTTGGCGCCCGCGGCGCGCGCCTCGCTCTGATCTCGGCTCGGAAGCATCGGCTCGCCACCGCCGCCCCAGCTCCGAAGATGCATGATTGGAGGGGTGGCGGGCAGACGCAAGTCGGAATCCCACCAGCCCTCTGGGCGTATGTGGTTTAGCGAGTGGTGCTTCTCTCTGCCAAAACCTCCTCCCCTTGCTCGGGGGGGGGCGGGGGGGGGGGGCGGGGAAGGGGGAAGGGGGGGGGGGGGGTGGTGCGCGCCGCCCCCCCTACCCCCTGCCCTGGATCTGGGAGGTGGAGGGGGGAAGGGGGCTCGACGCATTAGAGCGCCCAATATGGCCCAAGGTTGCTCCAAGGGTGCCTTAGAAGATAGCCCAAGATGGCTTCCAAGATGGCCAGAGATAGCTCAAGATGACCCAAGATAGCTTTCGACGCACATCCAGAATGCTTCGAGACGGCCCCGAGAGGGTTTCCAATGTCTTTCGTGTCCTTCAATTGCCCTCCCACGAGGCCCGCGTGATTCCAAAACCTAGGGACAACCAGTGCTGTTTGTCTTCTCGCACGTTCGCTTCCGGCGTGCTCTCGAGACGCCAATAATGCCGCGATATTGCCCCATGGGGGCCCAAGGTGCCCAAGGCTGCCCCAAGGCGCGCGCCCCCCCCCCCCCCCCGCCACCACCACCACCCCACCCCACCCCCACCCGCCACCCACCCACCCACCCACCCACCCCCACCCACCCCCCCACCCCCCACCCATCCCCCCCCCCCCCACACACACACACACACACACACACACACACACACACACCACACACACACACACACACACACACACACGGGCGCCCAAGAACGCCCCAAGAAAAGCTGCAACAGTCGGCCCCAATGCGCTTTTGTGAGCTTCCAAGGGGGGCGGTCCGAATAAACGCAGCCCTCTTGCGTTTCAGCCGCAGCCCCCAATATGGCCCGACGATGCCCCCCCAGACGCCCAGAAAGAACCCCAAGAGGGCCCAGGGGCCCACGCAAAAACAAGCCCGAAAAGGGCCCACGAGGGCCCCAAAAGAACACCCAGAGCGCCCCACGGCGGCTACACAAGGCATCCGAGACAACACTCCCGATGCGGTTGTTGCACACCCTGCTGGCCACCAACACCGCCAGCACCAGCAGCAGCACCACCAGCGCCACCAGCGACAGCAGCACCACGCCAATCACCAGCAACAGCATCAGCAGCAACACCAACAGCAACGTCAGCAACATCACCAGCAACACGAGAACCAGCAACACCAGCCGCAACATCAGCAGCACCAGCAGCACCATCAGCATCAGCGACAGCACAACCACGACCAGCAATAGCACCAGCAGCAGCAGCAGCAGCATCACCAGCAGCGCAAGCACAGCAGCAACAGCAGCAACACCAGCAGCAGCAACAGCACGAGCAGCAGCACCAGACGGATCGGCCACGAGCTTTACCCATCGAGGTGACCACGGGTTGGTCCCAAGCTTTACCCCCCGAGGTGACCACGGATCGGTCCTGAACTTTACCCCCCGAGGTGACCAAGGATCGGCCCCGAGTTGTACCACTCGAGATAATCGCGGATCGGTCCCGGACTTCACCCCTCGAAGTGACCGCGGACCCGTCCCGAGCTTTACCACCCGAAGTGACTTCGATTCGGTCCCGAGCGTTACCCGCCGAGGGGACCACAGATCCGTCCCGAGCTTTTTACCCCTCGAGGTGACCTCGGATGGGCCCCGAGCTTTACCCCTCGAGGTGACCTTGGATCGGTCCCGAACTTTGCCCACCGATGTGCCAAGATGGCCCCAAGATGCGGGCGAAGCACCAGCAGCAACCAGACAGCGCCGACAACAGCACCACCAGCATCACAAACATAACCAGCAACAGCACAAGCGGCACCCCAGCAGAATGAGAACCCACACAAGCCAGCCAGCAACACCAGCAGCGGCACCAGCAGCGGCGCCACCAGCACCATGAGCAACACCACCAGCACCACCACCAGCAGAAGCACCGCCAGTCTGCGCTTCCAGGGCTCCCCCACTGTACTGTTGTGGCCCGTGATACCGCCGCGGCATAGGAAACTATATTAAGTCACAAACTGTGCGTTCCAGCTGTTTCTGCGCCCCTTCAACGCGCCTCCGAAACGGCTGTGTGACTGCGTCCTTCCAAGAATCATTGGCCAACCAACTCACTTGACAATCGTTTCTCGGTGGGCTGGTGGGGGCACGCGAAGCGTCATTTTTTGTTTGCCATGTCTCATGAGGGGCCCCTAGGGCCTTGGGGCAATATTGGAGGCCTCTTGGGATGTCATTGTGGGGCACCCTGGCGGCCTCTTAGGCCGTCGCACGGCAACCTTGCGCCATCTTGGGTCTCTTTCGGGCCGTCACCAGGCTCTCCTGAAGAACATATTGGGTCGGATTGGCTGCGCCTGCGGCCGTATTGCGGCCAGATTTGGCCTTCGTGGGTACCGTGGGCCTTCATGGGCCGCTTTTCCGAGTCGAGCCGACGCTTCCCTGAGCCCGTCGGGTTTCACTAGTCAGCCCCTGGTGCAATCACTGGTAGGGTAATACAATTAGCAGCGCAAGCACTGATTGGGTGGCACAGCTAGCGGTCGCATAACTCGGACCCGCCGCAGCGCCTACATGGGCGCCGACGCGTGTTGGACAGGCTCCGACGCCCCTCCCTGGCGGACCCAACGCCGACCCCAGACGCCCTCACCGGCCTCAAGACGACCCGCCGCGTCCCCAGACATGCCCCCACGACGGCCGTCACGGCCGCCACTCTGGCCCAGGAAGGCCGCGGCCCCCCCTGCCCCCGCCCCGCACCCCCGAGGACGACACCTCTGCGTTGTAAGTCCCGCGGCGGGGGCGACGGCTGATCACCGTGAGGTGCATATCAAAAGAACAATGGCGCCCAGCGGCCCTCTCGTGCAAATGCAACAGAAAATATCAACGTCAAGCAAACATCATACTTCACCAACGTGGCGTGAAACACATGTGTTTTCAAGGGCGTGTGGCACGCAACTCAGTACACGGATATGCTTATTTCTCTGGCCCGGACTCCTCGTCATCCCGTTGCTGGCGCTCCTGCTCGAAGAGGTCCTCGGACCCTGCGAGCCCTCTGAGGATATCCCTGCCGTGCCTCCTTGTAGCATGATCGGTCGTCCTATGCAAATTCTCATGGTCCCAGGCGTCGCTGCACTCGTCAGCCGGGAGCAGCCAGGCTATGAGGTAGCCCAAAGGCCTGCCTTGACCCTGCGCCAGCTTGGCCGCCCCCTTGCCACGGCGAGACACTCGGCACCGTCTCCCGTGTGCTTCACACTCGCCGCAGCATGCATAGATCTCGTTGTTCCTGTAGGCGGCGATCGAGCCGCCTCCAAAATGACCAGGCAGCCTGAAACTACACACGGCCTGTTCTCGCAGGTGCGGCGGATGCTCGACGCCGAGGTCGGGGGGCTCGTCGGCGCCAGCGTCCTCCGACGAACTCGAACTCGCCGTAGACGAGCAGTCAGACGACAGCTGCTCTCGACTGCCGTCGGAGCCACCCCCCGCGGCCCCGACGATGGCCTGCTCCTCCTCGACGCCCGAGGCCCCCACCTCGCCGCCGCCGCCGTCAGCAGAGCCGCCGCCCTCAGTGGCAGCGTCGTCCCCATCCGAGTCGCCCCCACCGCCATCCTCGGAGCTCTCGTCGCACGCGGCCTTGAAGCGGTCGGCCAGAGCGTGCCGCTGGTTGATCCGTCGACGCCTCGGCGCGGCGGGGTCCCAGATGACTCGCCGTCGTGGGCGGCTCTCCTGGGGGAAAGAAAAGTGCGGCGTGGCTGACGCGCCCGTCCGCTCACCCCCTGGCGGTGCTGACGCCTAGGGGGGCGTTCCGTTTTTCGAGTCGCGCCCAGCCGACGATGCACCGTCGACCGATTGATCGGCGGCGAGGGGTTGGACAGGCTACGCATGGGTAGTGCACAGCCAAGTTACCGAATGAAATTAGCAACGCCAGCCAGCGCGATGTCCTGGGCCATCGCGGGGCCCTGTCCAGAACCGCCCTCCGCCTCCAACGCCGCTGGATGCCATCGTCGGGCCGAGACCCCCAGGGGCACTTCGAGCAAACCAAGAGTTGCGCCCTTCTCGCGCCCGCTGAAAGTAAAGGTCCGAACGGAAACACTGCCCCCCAGATGGCATCCAGACGCGCCCCGAGGCCCCGAGGAGGCCGTTGACCATCCGATACTCCCGCAAGACATCCCCACCATCGCCAGGACCCCAAACACTGACGGTGCAAGCACTGATTGGGGCATTCAGCGACGCGTGGCGGTGAGAGAACCACCACTGCAAACAGAGGGAGGATGAGGGCGTGCCCCCCTGACATGCATTAACAGCCCGTGTTGTCCCCTTCTGCAGTGGGGGCTCCACGGCGCCCAAGACGGTGTCGTTATCGATCAGCTCGAAGTGCGCCAGCAGCCAACGCTTCGACAAGTCGAAGATCTCGCAAGCATCCCACGCATCAAGACTCCTAGGCAACGCCTCCAACTCCACCAAGCGTTCTCTGAGCTTCTGGTCGCCGTCCAAGTCGACGACGTACCCTGGCGTCCGCATGGGGGCGTAGAAAGGCTCGAACGTGCTCCAGCTGTGAAAGCCGACGTGCATGAACGCGTAGAGGGCGCCGTCGTCGCACCCGGCAGCGGGGCCGCCATCTCCATCGTGCCGAACAGCCGAGCCGATGAAACAGCACACGATGAACCCTGAATCAACGTTGGACCGAAGAGCTCCAGGGCGGTATAAGCGCCGCGTGGTCTTCTCGAGATTAGCCTTCAACTTTACCAGCGACGCCGACCCAGGGCAGCATATGCAACGGCGAGCCTCCCAGCATCTCCTGTGGACAGGCGGCTCGTCGAACACCTCGCAGTCCTTGTGCAAGGTGGCGCGGGACAGCCCATGCCAGAAGCGATGCAAGAGACCTCGCAACGCGCGCGCTGGGCGGGTCTGCCCCGTCAGCGCAGCGAATCGCTGCGCCCGCTGGTAAATGGAGTCGTCGGCCCACTCGGCGTGCAAGAAATTCGGGGCGCCCTCCTCGGACTGCGCGTTCCTCTGGCCGGCAACGAATAAGCTGGCGCCAGCGGCATGCGGCACCGCGCGGCCCGCTGCCAGGGCCAGCTCCCGAGCGCCCGCGCGGCCGCCCCTCTCGGCGAAGTCGACCACCTGCTGCTCGGCAACCTCCAACGAGCTGCAAGCCGCCCCCACCAAGACACGATTACCCCGACCCACCCACGGAGTGCAGACCGAACCGAACAACAACAAACACCAACGTTCCAATGTAAACAACACCGAGGAACACGTCGGTGGGGATCCGTGTCTGGTTGGGGGGGGTCGGTTTGGAGCTCGTTCGGGCCTTCTCCTCGCGCCGCCCCGAGTCCGAAGAGGTCCGCAGAGCGCGCTTGATGACTGCAAGGGCGTCTGCGCTCGGCCTGGCGGCCAACGCACCCGACGCCGCAGCAACGGCAGCGAGGGTGCGCCCGTGGGCCTCCAGGGCGCGGTGCGGGGGAGCAGGCTGACCAACTCTGTCATCGGCGAGCTGAGCGCGGACGTGCATCGCGGCAACTGCCTCTGCGTCGGCGCGGGCCCTGTCCCGCTGCATCTCGCGCCGACCCTTCGGAAAAGGCCTCCTCCCCTCGCTGGCCTCAGCGTTGGCCTCATCCGCCTGCCGCTGGAGCTCGTCGATGTCGCCGTCGCCCAGCCTGCGGAACTTCGCCCACATCCCTGAGAAGCTGGGCTGTGCGTTGCCTTCCTGTCCGCACTCACGACTGAAGAAGACGTCGGCAGCCCGCAGCTTCCGCCTCCGCGGGGCGCTCTGGTCGGCCTCAGGGCTGCTTGAGCTGGGTGTCCGAAGCTGCCGAAAGGCTCTCGCCAGCCTGCGGGACCCTTTTGCCAATCCATTCGACGTTGATGCGGTAAAGGCTGGCAACCCACGTGTTGACCGATCGTGAGGCGATGATGCGTCGCAAGACGCCTTGGCTCCACTCCTGCTTCACTGTGTCCTCATGGAGCAAGCTAGCCACGTGCATCAAGTCATGCCGCGCGTCTTCGATGACCCCGCGCCTGTGGTGCCTGCAGAACTGCAGCGACCAGGAGTCGAGCAAGCAATCCTTCTCGTCGAGAGCCGCCTTCATGGCATCATCGCTGCGGATACCAGCAAACGCTTTATCCGGATACCATGTTTTCTCCAACTTGATAAGTGATGTCGTGCAGACGGCCTGGGATAGCAAGCGGAACGCAGTGCACTGCAACCTCAGAGTCCTGCATCGCAGCGGGATGCTCCCCCAATGAGCGGAGTCTGGCATCAGAACGAAAGCGTTGTCAACCAGACGAGTCTCCAACTCCACATCGTAAGCCTCCAGAACTTGATGCATGAAGGTGCGGCCATGGTTGCCCTTCAACGCCTGGGATGATGACGCTATCTGTTTCAAGTTCTTATGGTCACCGCAAGAGTAGATCAGCCCACCGATGCAATCGCGGTGCAAGTTCATTGTTCTCAGCACGACGACGGCAGTGGATAGAACTTCATCTGGGCCAATAGTAGCTGAGTGCTTCGTGACGGTACCCCTATGGCTCTTCTGTTCGAGCTGTTTCAACTCTTCTTGCGCTGCGACGGTGAGATGCGGCACGCTCGTGCCTGCTGGGTTCGAGTCCAGGACAGCTTGGAGCGCGCCCTTGCCGTCTAGGTCAACCCTCGGCTGTGCGCCCTTCTTCTCGCTGGGATAATACACAGCAATCCACTTGCCCCATGCGTCGGCACATATTCCCAAGCCCTGCAAGAGAACGAAATACTCCACTATCTCTTCGCACCCATTCCACTGGCGACAAGGAAACGAACGGGGTGCCCGCGGACATATGGCTGCGAGGAAATCGCGGGACAACAATTGCCGAACTCGTTCTTCAGATCTGCATCCGTTAGGGGAGTTCGCAACGTGAATGAGCCTGGAGCCGTCGATGCCGCCGTTGATCGTCGAGGAGGTGCTCGAGACGTTTCACATGCACTGGCAAGCAGGCCCCCTCCGCCAGGTAAGTGAAACGACCAGGCGCAACTATAAGTGTCTTGACCTCTCTCCGAAAAGCGTTGCTGTTGTAGGCCCTGCGCATCAAGAGGGCGAGGTTGGTGCAGAACTCAATTTCTCGGGGCACTTTTTTCTTGAAAAGGTCCTTCTTGCAATTCGACGCTCTATGGACGCAGCGCAGCTTATGTAGCAACTGCATGTCGGGGTAGACACATGAGCGGTGACGCTCAGCTCTGATGAACGCCCTGTCCCCGCCTGTGGTCGTGCTCCTCTGGTGGTGGGCGAACTTCTGAGCGACGCGGTCTGCGTCGGCCAGGCGGGTCTGGTGCAGCACGGCGTAATAACATTCTCCAGTTGTATCCGAAACCGCTTGAACAGGGGCGCAGAGACTGAATGAGAAGCTGACGTATGAGGAAGGTTGGCCGCCGCTGCCCCGCTTCGCAAACAACATGCCATAGTTCCATTCGGCGTTGACCAATGTCGCCCTCTCGTCAGCATCGTCGGGCAAGTCGTTGTATATATTTCCCTCGTCGTTCGACCCCGTGGCGCCCCTCGCAGGCAACTGGGTCTCATCTGAGCGAACGGCCTCTGTGAATGCCAGGCCCACGGCGCCCCCAGCAATGCAAGTATCGTACACATGCTCCATCAACCTCACGACGGAGTGGCGATCGTACAACACAGCAGCGGCAGCCGTTCTCTCTTCTACACTTTGAAACGCGTTCAACAATATACCAAACATGTTTGCAGATGCAGAGGCTGACCTCATTGTTGCTTTTTCTTTCAATACATACTCACAATTCTCAATGTGCGTCTGGTCCAACAAGCCGTCTGAACTTATGTTGTCGGCGATGGCATCGCCAACCTCTAAAGGCGTCTGAACGACTCTGCATCTGAAACCACGAACGGGTTAGTATTGGCTAGAGCTGCGCCGCCGATGCTGTCCTCGGGTCCGCCGTCGACGGGGTCGACCTGGCTGTCGAACTGCTGCGCCCCAGACTCTGGCGGCGCCAAGATGCCGCCGTGGTGTGTCATCACATCTGCGAGCACAGTGTTCACGGTTCTCCGACGTGGACGGCCGCGCCCGCCTTGAGCGGGTGGGACCTCGACTGTGGCATCCACGGGCGGGACCTCGATCATGGCATCAGCAATGGCGGCGGCGTCTATGGCGCCCTCGGGCGGGCCGCCCATGCCATCGTCGGTCAGAGAACCGAACAGTGACCAACCTGACAAGACTTCTGACGGGCCGCTGCTCTCTCCGCCGAGATCTGAATCCAACAGTTGGCGACGCAACTCCAGCCAGTCGCCGCCCGTGCCACGCATCGGGGGCCCGAGCGACGCTCGCACATGAGTCAAGGCTGTGTGAAACAAACAAAAACGAAAGGCCTGCTTGAGCCAAAACGATTACGGCAGCTCCCCCCACCAAAGGTCCCCGAACAAGCCCCAGAGACACATTCGCAAAGTGCCCCGCACGTTCAATCCCACGGCGTTTCCGGTAGCCGCCATGAGTTCTCAACCTCGAATGGGCCCGCGCAAATGAAATGGGGGGTGCTCCCGAGGCCCCTCCGCAATTCACTCTGTTATGACGCACCCGCTGGAGACAACCTCACAATTTGATCTGGGATTAGGCTCCCGCTCGAGACTGACGTCGCCAGCGCCAGCGAAAAACGCGCCAGACACCCTAAGGAGCGCGACGATACTTGTGAATGCCATACGGGTTCGGAGCGAACAGGAAGGGATAGTATACACATTAGCACACGCATGTGGAGGACTCGCAGCCATGGTGGAGGACAACGCAAAGAAAGAGGAGGAGGAGAGGGAAGATATAGATGGTGGCGATGGTGATCGCATGGATAACGCGAGTTTGGTTGTGGTTGCGGGGGGGGGGTGGGGGGGGGGGGGGGGGGGAGGGGGGGGGGCGGGGTTTGGTTGCGGCCGCGGGGGTAGGCGGCACCTCTGCCCACGGGCAGTTCGTGAGGGGCTATTTTTGGGGCTCGCTGCTTTGCAATCTGAATTCGTGCATGTCGAATAAGATTTGCATCGTTTGGGCCTTTCTGCCCAGCGAGCTTACTGACGAGGCCAGGAAGTCTCAATCCTGAGATGATATCGTCTCTGCACCTTGGTCGTCACTGGATGGGTGCTCGGAAGCGCCCATGCGGGGTCGTCGAGCGGGAGGAGGTCATCATCTTCTTCTCCTTCATGTCCTTGCTGAGAGATGACCTTGCTCTTAGGCGTCGGCGCACTTGGGCCCGTATCTTCCGCGTGCGAAAAATTCTAAAATCTGTTTCCGCGAGGGCGTGGGCCCGGCTCCTCGTCTTTTCTCGATGAAATCGGATTTTTCAAGAACTTCTATACTTTTCTCATTGTTGCATGATTCTTCACCAGGGCGCCCATCACCCTTGAAATGCAGGAACATCGTTCCTCCTTCAGGCAAGACCTCTTTCGTCGAGGACGGAACTTTCGGCTGATAACCAATACTTTGCCTGCCCTTTGATGACGTTGGCATGTTTGACCATGTTGACCGATAGTTCCTCTTCATCTTCTTGATGCATCATACTCCGGCTCACTCGGCTTATTGGTGATGAACTTCTTCCCGCCATGAGAAAATGTCCGCGGGGGGGTCTGCTGAGCTTAGGCTGGCCCTCGGAGCGGGAGGCGGGCGCCGTCTTTTCCGTCGAGCCAACGCGCACAACTACGCAAGTACCACCGCGCGGGCTAAATGGGCTCGGGGGTGCCTAAAACGACTAGAAACTCACCTCCTCAAGTCGAAGCCCACCGACCATGTCTGCGACGCTTGCGAATGCACAAAATCAGTTCGATAATCGCTGCGACATTGGAGTCAGCAGCTCGGGCCTCTGAGAGGCCCACTCTCACATCTAGTAATTTTCACCGAACGCCGCAGATAACCCCGCCAGGGCCCCGCGCCTCGGCGTGGCCCGCGACCGCTTTGGATACCCCAAGAAGACCTCCTCCTATTCCTCCTCCTCCTCCTCCTCCTCCTTCTCTCCTTTTCCCCTGGCGCTCCTCCTTCGTCCTCGTGCCCCCGCTCCTGCTGGCGATTCTCCTCCTGCTCCTCCTCGTGTTTCCTCGCGCTCAGGGCCCGTCAGCCGTCGGGGGCCCGCCCAGGACGCAGGGCCCATTGGGGGGGGGGGATTCGATTCGATTCGCACGCCCATATTATCCGATTGTCCCGAGGGGGGAGGGGGGGGGAGGCGGAGGAGGAGGAGGGGGAGGAGCAGCAGCAAGCGCAGGAGCAGAGGAGACCGAGGAAGAAAAGCAGCAACATGAGGGATACGATGGCGGCGGCGGCGGCGACATCGGCGACCTGACGACGATGATGCCGGCGCGGCGTCTCTGAGTTTTTCGCTCAGCTTCTGCTCCCGTTTCCCCCGGGAGTCAGAGTACTCTATCAATCTATTCTGATGTGAGGTCCACAACTTCCACAATTGATGCGCCGGCACTGGTCGGCCTGGGCGACGGCGACGGTGTGTCTGTAGCAGTCGCACGGCCACTAGACGCGGGCGAAGAAAAAACAAGCTCGCTGACCACTCTGGATTCGCCAGCTTGAAGGCCTTTGAGCTTGCAGAGCCAGACGCCTGTAGGGTATTTGCGCCATGTGACACGCTGGCGCTTCACAGGAATGTCGGGCAAGAGGAGTAGATTCTCTTCGGACCACAAGCCGCCATGGGTCTCGTCACGGACTCGACGGTTGGACAGGTCAGCAGCTGAGGGCGAATCCAGAATCCTGGAATGGGCCCTAGAAGTCATGTGGGTTCTCGGATGACGGACCTCACCTAAGCCAAAAAAGGGCTACGCAACCGAACGACATGTGGTGGTGGTGGTGGTGGTTGGTAGTGGTAGTGGTAGTGGTAGTTGTCGCAGTAGTAATAGTAATGGCAGTGGCGGTCTGGCAGTGCAATTTGCGGTGGTAGTGCGGTAGCGTTGGCAGTGGCAGTGGGAATATTAGTGGTGGAGGTAGTTGCATTGGCATAAGTTGGGTAGTGGAGGGTAGCATGATGAGATATGAGGACCCCCTTCCAAGAACACCTGGCGAACCTCCACATCATGCTCCTCCTTCTGGTCCTTCATCCTCCACTTCCTCCCACTGTTCCCCTTCTACCTCCTCCAACTCCTCATGCCATCTACTATCCTCGTCTTCCTCTTTGTCTCTCTTTTCTTCGTCCTCCTCTCCCCGCGACTCTCACGGTTGGGTGCGCTCCCTTGCGGGGAAGATGGGAAGAAGGAGGAACGTGAAGGAGGGGGGAGGAGCAGAACTTGGAGGAGGAGGGGGGAGTAGGCTAGGTGGAGGAGGATGAGTCCGCGAGCAACTGGGGGAGGGGGAGGGAAAAAGGAGAATGAGCAGTATCTGCTTCGAGGTGACATTATCCCCGTCGGGATCCCCGTGTCTGCACAAATCACTGTGCAGCTCAGCTACCATCGAAACACAATTCGAAACAAACTCACATTGACTCTCGCAGCTCGCATCTCGCATTGACCTGACTCCTGAAGCTACGCACTGGGCTCAATCATGCCCTGCAACATCGACCAGAACTTCGACACTGGATTTTCAACTCCATGGACGTTCTTGTAGCACTCGGCGTAGGACTTGAATGACTCCATGGGGGCCGTGGACGAATACAGCGAGCCTGTGCGGAAGCCGATGACATTGGAATCGCCGAGCGTGCGCTCAACGATGATGCACCCCATCGGCAAGAAGGAAGTGGATTCTGGGCCAGCGATGCCTCTGTAGATCTTCCCGCCAGCCTCTTTGTACACGTCGAGGCTTTCCTTGGAGTTCAAAGAGTTGACGATCCCCTGGGTGAACTCCTCGATGGTGCTGGAGTCCTTCATCTCCGTGCCCACTTTCGTGGCGTAGGCCAGCAGGTCCGTCCACGACAACGCTGCATATTCGCGCTGGCCTGCGATCGTGCAACGCATCGTCGCAAGGCCATGCTTCTCCAAGCCCGTATACGAAGCCCACGACGAGCACGCGAACAAGCTGACCGACTCGACTGCCTTCACGGCCAGTGCGTTCGGGTCGTTCGCTCTGGTGGACTTGTACTTGATCGTCGTCCCTGGTCCGGTCACGAGCATGGCGTTGCGGATGTGGTCCTTCTGCTCGTTGGCGAACGGGGTCTGCCCGCGGCCATCTTTACTGGCTTGCACTGAGCTGGGGCATTGGATCTTGAAGACTCCCACTGCCGCTTTGACCGAGCGTTCTTGTACGATCTTGGACATGCAGTTGTGCTTCATTGCGATGTACGGGATGCCCACATTGGTATCGATGCTCTTCGTGGTAAGCGCGTCCTTCACATCTGCCTCGGTGTCGTGCTTACGGATGTCCTCAATCACTTCATGCACTTGGTTTAGCAGCGCCACCTCGGCTTGCTTGATGTTCTGGCGCTCCTGAGCCTTCTTCTTGGCCACGGCACTTGCTCTCTTTTCCTCCTCCTTCGATTTCTTCAGTGCCTCGGCATCCGCCTGCTTCCTCAAAGTCCCCCGCTCCTTCTCCTGCTTTTTGTCAAACCCTGAAACGTTGTTCAGGCACTCTGAGATGCCAGCGCAGCAGACCTTCGTAAGCTTAGCAATCAAGGCGGTGGCATCGGTCACTGCTTTCTTCACGGCGTGGCCCTGGTCCTCCGCTGTGGCGTACTTGGCCATCATGTCGACCTCGTTAAACCGATAGAACACGGGCAAGTCCTCGGGGCTGGTGATCGGCATCGCCGCGCCCAGATCTTTCTTCGCGGCGATGAGAGAGAGAGCAAGCAGAATTTGCTGAGGCGCGAGCAGAACGAGAGCTTGAGCAACTCCTTAAATTGCACTATGCCGCTCTCGAAGAGGGGGGAAGTCGGGCCACCGAGCTTGACGGCGCCATCATCTGCATCGGCCGATGTCCACCTCGTGGACTTGAGCGCGAACTGGACGAAGGACTGCTTCACGATATCCTGCATCCCGTCGCTGTTCATGATGGCTGAAATATTTTCAATCTTGGCCCCTGTGTAGGTCTTAGTCTTCATGACCTCGTCCACTGCATCGATGGCCCCACCCAGCTTTCCCACTCCCGGATCGTCGTTGGCCTTCAGCGTAGTCTCGAATTGGTACCGCACCTCGCGGACGCTTCGTGCAAACCGATGGAACTCCATCTGAGTGAAGCCGCTGCCATCTCCGAACTTCGCGTTGGTGTTGTCCCACCCGGCTTTCGTGAAGAGCGACTGGCACTGTCCTGTTGTTGATGTGCTTGCCAAGGCCTGCTGCGCCAACTTGATCTTATTCAGCACGTCCGCCGCTGGAACGATCTTCATGGTGTTTGGGTCTGGGTCTGGCGTCGCCTCCAGCGCCGCACCCGCCGCGGCCAGCGCCTTCACCGCAGCCTGGAGCGAGGTCTTACCTGCCCCGTCGAGGACCATCAGCCCGAAGCTCTCCCCGTTCCCCGGGTGGGCAAATATGAAGCGCAAGAAGCCCATGCGATTCAACATCACGTCCACATACCTGAGCTGATTCTCGACGGCGCCATCACCGAAGATGCGCGGCGCTGCATCATTGTAAGCCTTCTCCGAGGATAAGAAGACCTGCGTGATCTTGGCAACGCCTTCCTTGGACTTCTCCTTGATGAAATCCTGCAGCTTCAAGCGATTGATTTCGCCCCACGCCTTCTCCTGCTTCTGCGTCGGCTTTTTGTCGGCGCTGGCGTTGATCACGACCCTTCCTGCGGATGGCGCGCTCGTGCCGTCGGAGGAGCCGCTGAAAGAACCGCAGCCCGATCCCGAAATAAAGCCGCCACCGCGTGCGAACGCACCACCTCCCACGTCGTCGAACATCGAGTCGTTGAAGCTCGCGCGGCCCTCGACCAAGCTGGGTCGCCCCTCCTCCACCTGCTGCTCGCCTGTGACCCACCTCTTCTTCGGCTCCAACACCATGGACCTCTCGTGCTCTGAGATGTTCGCTGCGACGATTGCCTCCTCGACGGGCATCGGCAAGCGCAACTCGCCCTCAGGGCCCTGATTATCTTGCAGCTTGAGCGGCGTCTCGTTCTTTGCCTTGGTCCATTCCGCCTCGGCAATGTGAGCAGGGAACATGAACTGCTCGGTCGCCAACTTCATCCATCGGGCTTTGTGCATCTTGACCTTCTTGGTCTCTTGGCGCAGCTGCGTCTTGGCGGAGTATTTGCTCAACAACTGCATCATGTCAACCGCGGAGCGCTTAGCGCCTCTCCCCGTCGCTGGGCTCTGAGTGGCGAAGTCGACGACTGCGTTGCTGAAATCGCTGGGGGGATCGCCAGCCTCGTCCTTCATCTTGTTGAGCCTGTCCTGGCCCTCGGCGTTGCCGTTCTTCTTGTCCTGGCCCTTGGTTTGCTTCATCGTCGCGTCGAACGTCCTCTTGTCATCCCAGCAGAGCTTGCTGTTCGAGGGCATGTCGGGTTTCAGCAACCCGCAGACCATGCGCGGCCCGCGCTGCTTCCCCTTGCGCGGCGTTGCACTGAGACCACTGCCACCTTTCGACGGGGTCGGGGGCCCAAACGCTTCGAGGTCCATCAGATCAGCCTCCATCTGAGTCTGCCCACGGTCACCTCGAGACGACATCGCGAGGCGGAGGAGTGCGGCAAACGGAGTGCGTGATCCGAACAAGTCAACTCAATGCGCCGGGCAACCGGGAGTCGCCCACATGGCGGGCCCGACGTCGCGAGCCTGCAAGCGAGCAAACATGATTACGGATAGCGAGGGATGAGACAACGGTAGCAAAAGACCCTCGGGATTCCGACCTTTCCAAGTAGACGCAATTTGGATTCAAGCCCGAAGATAGTTCCCTCAAGCTCTGGCCTGACATCTAAATTGGAGCCAAGGGATGCACGCTGAGATTGGGAACGAGGAATAGCACGCTGGCTGGCCTCACGAGGCGCATGAAAAGTCAACATTCGGAAGACATGCGATGCGCACTCGACCAAATTGTAAGTTTCAATATCTTTCCTACAACGCTGTGTGCCACCCAGGACTTAGGTCAGTGACGGTCAATGGGTAGCCTGACATTCGCACTCGAGTTCCACGCCGAAAGGAGGAGCAGGAGGAAAATGAGGAGAAGAAGGATGAGTCAGAGAGAGTTGGAGGAGGAGGATGGAATGGGAGGAGGACGTGGAGGAGGAGGTGTCTTGGCAGCGAGCAGCGAGAGAGCGGAACGGGCCATCATCAGTGACATCAGCCGAGCATGACTGCACAACGCGGCCGGTGGCCGCAACACTCAAACCTCTTCTGTAGAGATCGGATCGACTGGCACCCCAAGATAAAAAAGAACGCGAAATAACGACCCCCCCCTGCTCCTTCCTTTCTCCTCCCCACCCTCCCTTGCGGCAAGACGCGACAGCCTAGTGCTGTCAGACACGCTCGCACTCATTATCGTTGCGCCCCTTTCCCGCGGAGGCCAGGCTCGAGCAGTTCAGGCAGTGCAGGGCGAATGCAGCCATGTTCACGTTGTGGAGAGCATTGCCTGCAGCTTTCGAAATCCCGTGGTCTGTGATCCACTCACGCGCTGCCTCCCACATGAAGCAAGGGTAGTCGTTGCTCTCGAGCGCGGGGAAGTAAGCCTCGCCCATCACGCTCAGCTTCTCGCGAGGGATCATGAGCTCATTCGTGGCCGCGTTCGCGATCTGAGCACTCTTGAGAAGCGTCGGAACATATGGGCCCAACATGCTCCTCTTAGGAGCCCTCTCGAGATCAGCGAGGCAGGCGCCGCTGATGGCCTTCTTCTCAGGAGCTAGCGCCTTGGCGGATGCCAAGCGCAGGGCCTCCCTGGCCGTCAACGCATTCCCCAAAGGGATATCTGCATGATCTTCGAAATCATTGCCTCGTAAGATGGCCTTCGCCTTGGTGTAGGTCTTGCGGTCATTGGCCGACGCCATGAACATCGAGTCACCGTCCAAGACGGGGCAAGTGAAGAACACCTCCTGGAACTCTTGCCAAGACCCTGAGAAGTCAACGCGGATGGGTTTCCAAGCGAACGTGAGGCGCCGCGGCCTTTTACATGGCCAGCCCATCTGGAATCGAGACATTATGCCGCTCACGATCTTAAACCCTTCGGGCTCCAACGTGTCGCGGTAGAAGGACTCTGGGGCATGTCCGAGATCTCAAAGAAGCAGGCGTCCACGTTCAGTTCCAAGAGGATCTGCAAGAAGACCTCCCACACGATCATCTTGAAGCCGCAGGTGCCGTCGCGGTACCCTGGCCGGGCGAAATCTTCGCAACGCGACCCAGCAAACAGAATTTTCATGCGTTGGCCCCTTGACGTGTCATCCGTCGTCCAGCTCCAAGGGCAGGCTGCCCCATGTCGATGGCAGACGCAGGTCGGCACCCCCTGCTGGTCCTTGTTGAACAAGACCTTGTCGATCCGAGACTGCTTTAAGTAGTCCTTCATCTCGCGGTAGGCCATCTCCTTCACGTCGTTGTCAGCGCATGCATGAGGAGTCATGCGATGTATGATGTCCCTGTGCTCTGGCTCGATGAACGTCATGATGTCGCCGAAGACGTGCTCGTAGATCGGTCGTCCTGGCTGCCCCTGGCTCTGCCGTCCGCCCGTCCGCATGCCGAGCAAGATGTTCTGGCAAATGGGGTCCGCATCGGTCGCAGCCAATGATCTACACGAATCACTCGCTTCGTCCATGCTGAATTTCTTCTTGAAGAGCGTGTTGAGATGAGTCATGATGGTGCCGTCAGTGCCTTTCCCGGAGTAAAACGACACGGCGTCGAAACCCAGCTTTGCGTTGCGTTGAAGTTGAAGTAATCGCACTGGGCCAGTCTCTGAACATTCCAGACGAGAGTATGACCAATCTTGCCACTGGAAAAGCTCCTTCACCGTGCTGGGCCCGTCCGCGTACATCTGCAAAGCCTCCTTGTGGTCCAGGCCACCAACGCGGCACCGTTTCATCGGCGGCTGCTCCGTGGATGACGTCCTTGCGGCCACCCCCCAATGGCCTTAAGCAACGGAGCACGGTGCAGCAATCCGCTTGAACCGAGAATGATGACGGGCACGAGGAGAGGGGCGCTGACAACGACGAGGTGCCAAGCTTGACTCAAGACCACCATATTGGCGTTCGACTGTTTCATTGTTTGGTTCGGATGGGCTTGTGGATTCCTACTGGACCCCTTTGGACACCTACGGCTCCCTGGGAGCGCATGGACCTCTAAAGGCTCCCAGTGATCCGATGGGTTCATGCGGCCCCGATGGCTGGACCAGCCTGCAGCGAAGAACTGGGCCCCAGTTCTTCGAGCTGCGCCCAGCGGGGCCAGCCGCGGCGACAAGGAAGGAAGGAGGGCCCAGGGGCCCAGTCCCCAGTCCCTCGAGTTGCGTCCCAGCCGGGCCAGCTGCAGCGGCGAGAAAGGAGGAGGAGCCGGAAGAGTCCTGCGGCCTGCGGCGCACTGCGGGCCGCCATCCGCTGGTCCGGCGCGTGGGCCGCGTGGGCCGTGGGCCGATTCTATTGCACGGCTGTGCGATGGCAAATTCGGCTAATGAAAATAGTAACGACATCAGACGATCAGTACATTGGGCACTGGGCCTTGTCATCCGCGTCGCTTTGTACCATTCCGCTGCAAAGAACCGCGCACTTGAAAGCCTACCGCGGCAACCAATGCGGACAACTCGCGATGAAGCCACGCCGCGAACGACATGCCCACATGTCGTACAACGGCCACCTGTCCAGCTGCTGGTTCCTCTGATTGCGTGATGGGACGTCCAGTCCCCATAGGCAGAGCTCCTCGACTGTGCGGTATGCCAATAGCGCCGCAGGCTCGATCCGCGAGAGGATCACTTCACCGTTGCTTGTGGTCAATCGCCATACACATGTGTCAGTGTAGCACCTGCCGCCAGCCTCCATCGCCATTATCTCCGTGTTCAGGTTGTGAACGCAGCACTGGTAGGAGTAGCTGACATCACACTGCACTGTGACGTGCGCGCGATCCAGCAGGGCAATGCCAATCTGATCCCAATTGTGACCACGGGATCGAACTGTGCGGCCGTTCTGGACGATGCAAGTGGTCCAGAAGATGGCTGGGTCCAGCTCGACGGACGCACTGAAGTACCGAGAGCGCACTCGCACGTTGCCGAAACTCACATGCTCGAAGGCTGTCAGATCGTGGGCCTGGTCGCCCTGCAGCCTGTGGTAGGCGCTGCCACGTTGGAGCTGGTCGGCCTGCGCCCTCGGCATAGCTCGATGGAGTAGGCGTTGCCCAAAGAGATGCGGGCAGCCCCGCAACGACGTGGCGTGACCAGCAGCGCCACAATGGAAACAATAACATAAACCCTGCTGCAGATGCATGGCGGCGGCCTGGTCCAACTGTTGCATTGGCTGCAACTTGGGCCACGCAACGTGGCGCGCGGGCCCCTCCGTAGGCTGGGGTCCCCCTGAAGGCTTGCAGCAAGGCGCTGAGTCAAACGCCTGCGGGAGGTGGAGGAGGATGAGGAGGAAAAGGGGGAGGAGGAGAGGAGGAGGGATGCCATCCTGTGGCGTTGGGTCCTCGTTTTGAAGAGACAGCGCCCCGCGTTGCCTTCTCCTCCCGCTGCCCTTCCCCCGCCCCTCATCAGGGAGGGCTGAGGGAGGCCGGAGGTGTGCGTGTGCGTGCGCGCGTGTGCGTGTGCGTGTATGTGCGCGTGTGGGATCGCATGCGAATTTTGCCACTGGGGCCTTCGCTGGAGTTCCCTATGGGGCCACGAACCGTGTAAGGGGTGCGCCGACATTGGGGTGGAACCGCGTGCGAACTTTGCCGCTGGGGCCTTCGGTGGGAGGCCCGCGATGACGATGACGGCGATGATGATGACGATAATGCTTTTGACGATTATGATTGTGATGATGATATGGGAGGAGGCTCGCGTTCCTCTAAACAGCCTTCGCACCGATTGTCTAGCAAAGCCTTCGCACCGAGGGTTGTTTTCCTCTACGCAGCCTCCGCACCGATTGTGTAGCCTCTACACAGCCTTCGCACCGATTCCTCTACACAGCCTGCGCACCAGATCGGATAGGCTACAGAGCAAAGCGGAGCAGAACAGAGCAACGAGAAGCTTCAATCCGACTGTGAGTCGTCAGTCTTCAGATTATCCTCCATATCCTTGATGTAACCCTCGTCCCACTCACGGTTCAACTTGTCGGAATCAAGGGCGGCGTCCACGGCTGTCTTGATCGTCATCGCGCGGCTCTTGCATAGACGAAGTCTCGCAAATTGCCGCCGGCAGTTCGTCTTCGGCACATCGATCGTCTTCATCGATTTGAGGAATCGCTTTCGCATGACGGGGCTGCACTTCATGATGAAAGCTGGCCTCGCCCTTTTCTTAAAAAGAGCATTGCACCACTGCACCGCGGCCACGGCACCACCGCGCGGTAGGCTGGATGTCTCTTCGTTTCTGGCGGAATGTTGCTTGAGCGCAGATCGCGGCTACGGACTGAGGGAGGAGAGGAGGCAAGAAGGGCCGAGGGGAACTCCCCATGGGTCCACGAACCGCAGGGTGCGCCGAAATATGGGGGGGAGGGGTCGGCGGAGCGGAGCTCTATATGGGGCCAGGCTCCCAATGGTTTAACGGGTCACTGCTGCTTAAGTGTAACATC